TTGTGTTTTCTCATAGATTTGCGAAACGTTCGAAATTTCATGAAAATGTCTGAGTTCAGTTTTATGAAATAGAGCTCTGGTCGGGTGCTTCGTCTTTCTCGCGTGTGTGCTCTCCTCTAGTCCCAGTTTGTACTCTAGCGGTGAACTTTCGAGGTGGGAGTTATATCCTTCCTTGTGAGCTACACCACCGACGGTTGACACGAGCAAATGGTTATCAATTTAGATTGTTTATTTTTTGTTCGTTCATTCTCGATTCCCTGAGAACAGGAGTTGATAAACCGTAACCATGATCCGGTGTACGTGTGGGTATGAACTGCTTTCTCAGGACCTGATCAACCTGGTACACCAAATTTCACTGAGACCATAATGGCCGCCACATATAACTCTTGGTTTGGTCCTAGTACAAATTTTTAAGCATTGAACGATACACTGAACAAAAAGCCTAACATTAGTACTCAAATACGAAGAAAGATGGGGTATTGTTTCCAATGAGTCGTAATACTAAATCAAAACCCAATTACCGTTAGACTATGGACAATTGTCTTTTACTNTGATCCTCAATTGTTTAGGTTTACACGACCGATGGCGATCGCCTGATACCTATGTAGATATTTAATTTAGCTGACAATGTTGTTCGAACAACTGCAGTTGTACTCCCTGAAGGGAAACTGGGACTTGTTATGGAATTGGAACATTATTCCAATGGAACGATGGGGAATCTTGGAAGAGACTAATCCTACTGATCACGTCCGTTGCACCATCAATGCAGGCTGCATAAATTTGTGTTAGATAACAATACGGATCCCTCAAATTGTAATTGCAACGCTTCTGAGGCCAAATTGTGTGCCAAATATCAGAGCAAACGTCGGTCTACGGTTAGCTCGTGAGCGGAATGCTCCTTGATTGTCCAGACCAAAGCAGGGTGATTTTCTCGGAGTTTCGCAACAGGAGCCTTCAGTTAACCCAAGCCTAACGTGCTTGAGAATCGCAATTTTATCTTGCAACTTCTGTGTTGTTTGCAACGAAAGCTCCTGAAGTATATCCTATTCACCACCCAACTTTGGTGGTAGGCCGCTTTGCTGTCCGGTTCAATACCACGCCTGACTGACTCATCGTGGGCACTTCAACTCTCGGGGCTTAGGTTACCGGTTTCCATCACTGATCACAGGTTTTTGTGACTATGGGATCCATCCCGTCTGCCGTTCATCACACAAGTGTATGTAATAAAAAAAATACAAGGGTATCTGTTCTCTTTGATAGTTCACTGGACAGGTGCGTGGTTGTACATCGTGTAGCGTATTCCAACTTCCATCACCACCGTCCTGTTTTCCGAACCGACGAATACGATTTCTGACATCTCATGATCACCCCAAGAAAACTAACTGAATATTTCGTTCATTTCACGGGGCTGACCGGCGAAGTTATCAATAAACCGGCTTTCCACACTCGAAATTTCACCCGCATGTCCCGATGATCATATCACAATACCAAAAATTTGTCCATCAATTGATATGCTTCTATTTTTCGCCTACTCCCATATTCACCCCATATAACACCTGTTATTCTCGGGGTATTTATTTATTTTTTCGTTCAAGGGTCCTGGTATGGGTGCTCCATTGCTTGTTGTGGCTATCGTCGCCCGTACTCTGTCCCAGATGTGGAACAAACCGCTAATCGGTGTCAATCACTGTATTGCCCACATCGAAATGGGTCGTCTAGTGACCGGAGCCAAACGTCCTATCGTACTTTATGTAAGCGGAGGCAATACTCAAGTAATTGCTTATTCTGCTGGGCGATATCGAATTTTTGGCGAAACCATAGATATTGCCCTAGGAAATTGTTTGGATCGGTAAGTGCACATTTTACTTATTCCATTATCATCAACTGTTAAGTTGTCCAATTACAACTCGGACAAGTTAAGTGATTTCTACAATAAATTTTCTTTAATGGAAAATTTTTAGTTGTTTTGGAATAAGGACCCGCGGACAGCCATATTATCATCTTCAATGGATTGAGGTCAATAATCAATATCTTTGTGGCTCTGTTGACACTTACATTAATTAGAGCGTGGTCTGTTTACCTCTTTTCACGTTTATCGTGTGATGCATTAGAAACTCAATTCTGGTTTCACTCTTAGTCCGTATTTTCTCTATAAAGTTTTGTTTTCACGATTCTGTCTGTACTACACCTTTCTCATTGTTGTTATTGGTCCGGAACAAACGTGACAAGCCCGGGCAAGAGAGAGGTGCACAATATCGCCATTGAATTCGGCCTACAGATGGTTATTTCCTGAAAGGCTCAAATCGCAAGTACCGTGTTGTAAAGTAGTTGTAGTTCAACTTGGGTGCATAAAAACAGTCTCTTCGTTCCTTCCATACATACGTGTTTGTGTGTGTCTACCTGTGGCCCGACCACAACATAAACAGTATTAAAATATCCTAACTACAGCCCTCTCTGTCTCGCCCTCAATGGTTACAGTAATATTCACTATCCCTGCCTAATACCTTGTTGAACAATCAATTGATTGATAACACAGTACTCGAATCTCTTCCACACCGAGCTCTAGGTACATGGAACAAAATTCAGTCACACTGGAGTGATATGCGTATGGATCCGCAAACGTGTACTCGAAGCTTCTCTATCACCAGGTTCAATAATACACCTATTTTATTAGATCTTCTTACAGCTGTATGGCTTCATTTATCGCTTCTCGTGAATGAAAAGTTGGCCCCCGGGCTCACATCGAGTTCACTGTTCATTGCATCGGGTGATGTCATCAAAATTTGTTCAGTACATCCATTACTTCTCCAGTTAGAGTGAGGTTGGGTGCTGCACCAACTCAGTCCGGGTAGCAACATTCTGCGCCTTGCAGGTACAAACAGAACGCCGAACAGAGCTTCACTTAGCAGTACAATATCTTCAGCATACTCCAGATAAGATTGTCTGTCATCTGGTGGCAAATCGATACCACTAACGTTCCACGAGGGCAGGGCTGTTTTTCATAATTAAACATGTTACAAAGTTAAATCGAAAAGGAAAGAGGATAACCCTGATGAACGCCTTCTTCCGTGAGCGAGAAGGTGCCTCTAACTGGAACTCGGTTCTTAAAATTGAAATAAACTTCTCGGGTACAGCTTTCAGAGAGAAGCATCGCTAGAGTCTAGAGTGATCGATTGAGTTGAAGGCCGCTTTCAAAGATAAAAATAGTAGGTCTAAGAAAAGAATGTCGGTGCTCCAGAATTCGGCCGCGAATAAAAATATGATCGATCCAACCTCGACCAGGTCTAAAGCCTGCCCGGTTCTCCCACATGTACCCTCGGCGTGCGGGAAACAATCGACGGATTATTATTTCAGCGAGACATTTGGAGACAATATGGTTTTCACAAGAGGACCGTCATTCTTTTATAAATCAACAGGTTCTTACCACTCAGTTGGAACCGTCTAAAGAGAGAAGTTTGCTCAGCAATCGAACTGTGCATACACAAACACACATCGCAATTTCACCTGATGCAATATAAATGATGTTTATAATTTTACAATTTGCGGCAGCGTTTTGCACCAAGATTACTTTCACGCAACGTTCCTGTCACTATTTTACGCAGTTATTTCCATCGCACACTTACAGCATTCTCAGGTTCGGACACACTGCGTAATTACATTTCGGATGATCGAACTGGATTAGTCTGTTCCTAAACAATAATTCTTATTCACTCTTCATAGATTCGCTCGAATAGTCAACTTGTCTAACGATCCCAGTCCCGGCTTCAATGTGGAGCGTCTAGCACGACAGGGGAAACGATTTTTCGAATTACCATATGCAGTCAAAGGGATGGACGTTTCATTTGCCGGATTGCTTTCATTTTTGGAACAAAGAGCCTCTGGTCTACTGGAATCTGGTGAATACACGGTCGAGGATTTGTGCTTCAGTTTACAAGAGACTGCATTTGCCATGGTCGTAGAGATCACAGAACGAGCCATGGCTCATTGTGATACAAAGGTGAGGCAGACCCCCTCCTCCGGTTTCTTCTGGATGTCCTCCCGGCCGATTTCATGCATCTCTGATGGCTATGTTTAATATGTACGCCACCTTTATATATTTCGTGATAGTATTTGGTTCCACGTTCAGTCTCTCATAATGTAATCCAATTCAGTGTATTCTTGTTGTGAGAACTCTAAAAGACTGAGCCGGCACTTACCACAGGTCACCAATAAACATGTACATGTTATTCGAGCTATCCATCTGTCATTCTCTCACCCGTATACTTTCCGCTTCCGTTCATTTTTCCTCAATCCATACGTTTGACTGTTAAGTAAGACTGCGATATTTAGTCTTTTCACTGGGTTTTCTCGCTCTGAATCCGGTGTAGAATTTTTACCAGTGTGCTTTCACTGTTCGGGTGATACATAACTGATTCACTGGTGGTTATGTACAGCGCACAGTCTGGCTGTAATTCAGTCAAGAAGGGTGCGCTCGGCCTTGGCGCTTAGCGCCATCTCAACACCTTGAGCTTCGGACGCGGAATCGCCTGACACACGGAGGGTGAAGATTGAGGATGAGGTTCGATTAAGAGAACGCGGGGAGATGATTGAGGTGGGGTCTTGTATGCGTGTTAGAAACTCAAAATACTTCTAATTTGCATGTTTCAAAGGTGCTAGCTAAAGCAGCTTGTTGACCGATCTAGTGGAGTGTGCAGACGTTTAACTCCGCTAAGTTATTAGAGAATTTCGGCTTCAAAAATCATGTCACTACTGATCTTTTGGCCCTACTGATGAAACCTTCAATGATATTCCATGGTTCCCGTAGTCGCTTATGTCCTAAAACAAGATTTTCTGCATTGCCCGTGCAATATCACTTCCGGTTTTGTGCTGACTACAAGCAAGCTCAGCCATTTTTGAAACATTTTATGTTAAATGAATCGCAAACACCCACGTCCCTATTTCTCACTTGTTATGTATTACCTTTTATCTTCTGTCTTTACTTATCCCAAATTCCAGGAGGTATTAATCGTTGGCGGTGTTGGTTGCAATGAACGGCTGCAAGCCATGATGGGCAAAATGGCCGAAGAACGCGGTGCAACGCTGTTTGCCACAGATGAACGATTCTGTATTGATAATGGAGCCATGATAGCGCACACGGGCTGCCTCATGTTTAACTCTGGGATTCGTACTGAGATAAACGAATCGACTGTCACCCAGCGTTATCGAACAGATGAGGTAGAAGTGATTTGGTGATGCCAACTTTGACGAATTTTGTGAAATATATCCTATTTTCTCATCTGATTGTTATCGTTTTTTGTTTCAATTCATTAGTGTTCCCTTTCCTTGTAAACTTGTTAAGGAAGTCTCTGTTTGTGCTTCTGTGTGTGTGAAATTTAGTCAGTCAACTAAATGCATCCACGTCACTCATCATCCAGCGCAAATTACTAGTGCAACCCTTGCCGATCGTGGTTCATGTAGAGCAATACTGGTCATGGAAGCTTTGGAACAGACCAACGAAAAGATGAGAGCAAAGTAAATTAATGCGTTCAACTAAGGTACTGCTCACATCTTTGCGTAGTGTGTTTAGAGAACGCATACAGAGACGGCTGTCGGATTCTCACAGAACAGGCGAAGAGGTTCCCAAGCGTCTATGGATGACGCAACACCACATCGATTGCGAGAAAGGATTCCCATTGATTTGTACTAATGGTAACGTCAGAATGCTCAAGATCGCTGGGGCGATTGTTATCAATCAATGGAAACCAATCCTGTGTCAACAGAAGGACTTGTTCATCACCCTGGCTTTGTCTTGGTGACCCTTCCCCTGATCAAATTTGTTTATTTTGCAATCTATTCCCAAACCCTATACGATCAATATATACCTCTGCGGTAACCATCAATTGAGATGCAGCGAAATCGTTCAGGACATGATTCGTTCATTTTTGCAATAATGGTTTCTCTTTTCAAACCCTCTTTAATCCAACACTGGTCTTGTGGAATTAGGACGCGCCAGCCGCTGTTTGCGCGGCATATCAATGCATTCAGAAAACCATGGATGTTAATCTCCATGTGGTAAGAATGCTCTTATCAAGGTTTATTTAATGTACAGTCTGAACGCGGACTAGTGTGCATTTTAAAGGTCACGAGTGATCGTAAGTTACACATTAGGTAGTTATTCGCTAACTGCAAGCTTACTTACTTAGATTCAGGCTACTTATTTTAGAATAAGTCAGTTAGAACCTGTTGCATCCGACATAAGCAAACAAAGCAGACGTTGACCATTTATTCCTCCTAAAAATATTATCTACTGATGAGTAGTATATAATAAAACATCGCAAGATCCAGATAAAGAGATGTGTAAAAATAAAAGAACATTTTAAATAAATAAATTGACAAAATAATAACAATAAGAATGTAATTGGTATCAAAAATAAAGGGTAAGTGTTCAACACGGGTAAACCTGTGCTGTATGCTTAATAACAGTTAAAATGTTATCTTGAAATGCCTGATGAGAAAAGTTAAACCATACGCTATGCTGGACCGCATCTAAATGGTACCAAAGATGTTCCCAAGTGGATTGATGTGCTTTTCGTACTTGTAAAATCCTACATGTGCTCAATGCAAGCAAAATCTTTAATTTGTTTCAGTATTTTGTGTAAGTTGGAGCAATCAGTTGTACCGTCAAGGTCACAAATCAAAACAAGGCGCCCATTATCTACTTTTCTGTAAGACCTCGGAAAATCTTAGACATTATTTATTATGATAAGAAAAAATAGGATGACTTTTAAAAGGTCGCACGTAAGCTAAAAGGGTCTTGAGTCCAACTACGTGGGGGGAGGGTGGGGAAGCCTAACGTCCACCCCTAATAAAACGCAAGCGGCGAACTAGGCAATCATTGTATTTCCAGTTCGTCGATAGCCTGGCGAGCAAACCTTGCACCAACACGCAGGCAGGCCGGAAATTGGCTCAAGCGTCACATGACATGCAAAGGCCGACAAACTGGGCAGTCAACGANTGACGGTCCAATACTCACCTGATTGGTTAGAGCCCATCCATATTGTAATAGGGTCAGTCCGCATGAAGTGGGTGCGTGCATGTGTGGAACCAGACAACGTCCGTCAATCGAACAAGGCGTTGGTGGGCACAAAACACGCTCCCGTCAACTAAAGGTCGCAACATCACCTCCCCTTCCACAAACGAAAAGGAGGAAGTGATTTCACAGAAAAGACAAGATAGAAGACTCAATTATGAATTCTAGCCCGGCTACGGCTTTGTCACGCGGTCCCAAGCGCAACTCTGGCCTACATTCATTCCTTTTTTTTCTCAGTTTTCTCCGTCGGTGTAATCCGTTTTGTGTTGACATGGGAAGGATTGAACGGTCGGATAGTGAACAATGGCTCGTATCTTCGTCCTGTATTAATAATTGAACCATCTTTCAATATAAAGGTTGTATATGGTGTGCAGCACTTGTTTTTTCATGAATATCATAGTTCCTGGCTCACTCTTCCTTTTCTGTGCTTTTTGAAAATTTCCATTTGTGCTGACTTCCATTCCGATTTTGAGGTGGAACTCACATCTATCTTACTGAAAATGTGTGCCTGACTCGCATTTCACGTCGAATGGCCTTTGTTATTGATTGTTGCACGTGAACGGNCCCCCCCCCCCCCCCCCCCCCCCTCGTCGAATGAGTCTGAAAGAGCGTGTTGAAATGAGCAATTCATACTGTCTACTTCTTACTAGATTTTGGTAATCCGTTGATAATCAGCTCTCGCTTTATTTACGCGACCAAGTCATTATGCAATCAAATCAAATCCTCCCGTTCGTCTCCTTGCACATGCACGTAGCCAGTGTGCAAGTATGGCGTTCAAGCACAACCGGTTCACAAAATCCGGACGTATACTTAAGTGCAAGCGGCACATGAACTCAGTATGCAATCAAGCAGGGTAGGCAATCCGCTAACAAACTAATGAGCGTGGACAGTTCCATCCATACAGACAGAAATTTGATTTTGCGGAGTCGAATTGACCTTGTCACAGAGTAGTTTCCTATGGTGTGTGATGGCGGGCAACGTCTGCCAATCAATCAGTCAATCAAATCGGTCGCAAGTGAAGCGTCCCGGTTAGTTGAAAATCAAAACACCGTCATTTGCCACTTCACGCTCGGTTGTTCGTGTTAAACGTGTTTGCAATCGGCTAACCTGTTGATCAGATTTTGCAAGCGCTTTATTGTGTGTATACGTGAATAGGCTGTCGTTTATTTCGCATAATATTGACTGCCTTGAACACGACCCCCTTTACTTTACACTTCACATTTCGCCCCGATCGGATTCTGGCCATTGTGAATTTCTTTTGTAGCAGAATGGGTGTGCGTGGTCTAAGCACGTACATTTCCCACGATCCGAACAGTTTTACCAAGTATGAATTACATAACACCTATCTGGTATTTGATGCGGAGAACTACATCAATCATTGTTATCGGAATTCCGGTCTGGCTCGACAATTTGGTGGCGAGTACATGGATTTTGCTGTTTACGTGCGAATGTTCCTGAAACAGTTGCGTCGATGTCGAATCACACCCATATTTATATTTGACGGATGTCATGGGAAACAAGTACGTTGGTCGTTTACATTCGGAATGTTTCCTTCCGTTATTACCGTGTTATTTGTGATATATGGGTTATCTTATTTACATGACCTAGTTCTGGTCGCAATGTTTCCCGAAACAGTGATTCTTGAGTATGAGTATTTGTAGAAGCAAACAACTACCAGGTTACATGCAACTGCTTATTGATTCGGCTACATCACTAGACCGATAAACCTCGCGAACACAATGATCTACGATGCGAACAATTTCCCTGTCTTGTTGACCTCCTCCCTGGATCCGGCTCATTGAAATCAGTTCAGTAAAAGATGCATTGGTCATTGCATCTCAAGACCTCTAGAAACCTTATCGATGTACTCTCTTTAAGACTTGAAATCATGTCCGTATCGATGTTATTCCACTCTCTAATCAGAGATGTCTCTTTAGTTCTAGATCTTTTAGAATTCGAGTTGTCCGATTATCACTTCAAGTTGTTTCATTGACCTCATGAGAATTGCCAGGCTTTTATACTTTTAAAGCCACCATGCAGCATAGATGTCTCAAACTTTGACTGAAGCACCGGGGTGACGATAGTGAGACGTACCTCGGTCACACCGCAATCCCTATGGTATATCTTGATTGCTAGTACGTGTACTCGTTTCTCTCTCTCTGTTCGTCTCCATCCCCTGAGA